GTTGCTACACTGACCAATGTCTCCCTTCACCCATTTTTCTAAGTATATTCTCTTTTATTTAGATTATGTTAGTGTTCCAGAAGATATTGAAGATGTAAAAGAATGGGCATTTTTCATTCTGATAGACAAGTAGATCTTTGCTACAAGGGATTTTGAGTCTTGAAGGGTGGGTGGGATTTCTGTTACCCCTAAAAGGGCTAGCAGAGACTTACTAGACAAAAGGAATGGTGTGGAGCGAAGGATAAAGGCAGGGGGAAATCTATAGAGTAGATTGATGAAGACTAGAAGGGAGGGTATGTGTTGGAGTAAGGAGCTAAGTCTTGAAAGGCAGATTACCTAGAGCAGGAGTTTGCAAGCACTTCCTATAAAGAATCAGGCAATAAGTATTTTCAGTTTTGTAGACTTTACCATCAGTCTCTGTTACAACTCTTCAGCAAGTGCTCTGTCTCATACAACCCTTTCTACTTTTATTGCTAGCTTCTATAATTCATTGTAGCAGCCACACACAACTCACAGACAACATTCATGATTAAGGACTTGACAGCTAGAGTGACCAGGTTACAATTCAGGTTAGAAATAGTCAGGATATAGTTGTTCACACATGTTACAAAGTACCTTTAGGGCTGCTGTAAAATGCCCAGGGACATGCCACCCTCTGTAAGCCTCAACTTGAAGGCACCCAGCTCCAGATCCATGGGTCAGCATGCTCAGCTCCCTGAATTAAGTGCCCAGAAGATCCTACTTCAAAACCAGCCACCTGCCCCAAAGCACTCGGCTTTACTTGCTCTCTGGGCCTGGAAGTCCACCCCTCCATCTCGTGCTCTGGCTCCTGGTTCCACTGTTGCTCCTTCTCTACCACTCTTCTGGTGTCACAGGTCTCTTCTGGATCAAGGAGGTTCAATGTTAAGGGACCTCAAGGTTCAGAGAACGTGCTTCACTGTTGACTCATGCTGGTACTGCAGTCCCCCCATCCTACTTCTCAGAGGGATTATGTTATATGCTACAGGGTGGCAATCACAGTGAATCCTATTAATAAGCACTTAGAACTGAATTCTATCAGTATTTGCTCCCATCTTCTCTTACCCAACCCATCAGGCAAAGGTCGTTTGGTGGGAGATCAAAGATTCTGGCTAGTAGAGTTACAGGAAATAATTTTGTCCTCTTATGCCCCAGTTCACATAAGGGACTGGCGGTGTTTTCAGTGGGACTAAAAATAGGAACATGCAAAATAATAATAATAATAAGGAAGACTTGACAGGATCTGATTTGGGGAAGCTGAAGAGGGGATTGGAAGTAATTGAAGTTCTGTCTCAAGAACTTGGGACAGAGAATTATTAGTAGAAGAAGAGATACGAAGTTATTGCTGTTTAAGTTTGGTTTCAGAAAGCATAAAATGATGTGGTACTTTTGGATAGTGACTACCAGTAAGCCCTATGAAAGGTGGGATTAGAGTAGGGTTTGGGGTAAGAACTGAAAATGTAGGTGTAGAACTTATCGCTGCTAATCGTAAGGTCAGTAGTTCAAAACCATCAGCTACTCCATGGGAGAAAAATGAGGCTTTCTACTCTCTTAAATGGTTTCCGTATTAGAAACTCACAGGAGCAGTTCTACCCGGTCCTATGGGGTCTATATGAGTCAGAATTGACTCGGTGGCAGTGAGTTTGGTTTTTGGTTTGGAGTGCTTAAGGTCTCTAAATAAGAAAGCTGTGTGTAGAGGGGCCAGGAAGAACCTTTGAAAGAGGTAAAAGGGTGACCAAGAACTAGGGTAGCACAGTGTTACACAAGAACAAGATAAGAGAGAATTTTAAGTAGAAGGGTATTGAAAACAGTGTCAACTGTTATAGGAGTACAGGTATTGAGAAAAGTCCATTAGGTTTGGGGAGTAGAGAATATTAGTGGAAATCAAGAATACCGATCCTGCAGCATGATGGCTGAGGTAGGTTATACCGGAGTCGGGAATAGGCGGCTAAGGACTACAGGCAATTGGTACAGACTGTGGTACTCAAAAAAAAAAAAAAAGTTTTTCAAAGGAAGAAGAGACATAGGATAGAAATTGAGCAGCAGGATTGGCAATTTTCAAGATACAGGTGTCTTATATGAGATTAGAGGAGAAGTCAGTGAAGAGGGCCTCATTCAAGGTGAGATGGATAAATGTAATTGAGTTAAGAAGACCTTAGAATGAAAACCGTTCAGGAACCCAGGGATCCAGGCTTAGCTATGGAAACTGGGAAGTAATATATCTTCCTCCAAGGCTTGGACACAGGATAGATAGCCATAAAAAATGAAAGGAAGGAAGATACGGAGACTTATGCAGTAAAATATGATATGAAATAATATGCAGGAATAGGATAGATTTGGGACTTTAAAGGCAGTTCAAGTTTTATCAAGAACATGTTTTGTTGTCAGTATGAATTGGCGAAGTAGTCAGCATATGGGAATATCATATATATATTTATATGTATATAGAGAATAGAACATTATGATAATATTCATTAAACCAGGATTTTACTGGAGTTGTGCTGAATTCAAATTCATGCCATAAAATATAAATGCATATGCTATGTATTTTTTTAGTAAGGCAATTGCATTTTTGATGTGCTGGTTAATTTATATTAATATGTAACAATATTTAACAGTTCAGTGATCTTCACCTGGACAGTTATAAAACAGTTTATCTTGCAATGACTTCCTCAAAATTGGTATTTAATAAAAACGTTTGGCAACTGTATTGTAAAGTAAACTTTATGCACATAACATCATTTACATTTACACATGTAAACTTAATCGATAAAACCACACCATTACCCTGCTGCATGCATATTAACATAGGTTTGTCCTTTGGCTGGTTGAATTTAACTATATTTAAGTCTGTTTTAAAACTTATTAAAGCAGGACAGATCTTTGTATTTAATTAATAGGCACAGGAAGAAATTGCCCGACTTCGACGAGAAATGATGAAAAGCTGTAAGTCTCCCAAGTCAACCACAGCGCACGCTATCCTCCGGCGAGTGGAGACAGAAAGAGATGTAGCCTTCACTGATCTGCGAAGAATGACCACAGAACGAGATAGTCTGAGGGAAAGGCTGAAGGTTGGAAAGACAGTTTACCTCTAGGAACATATGTGAGATCTGTAGGCGGCTAAAATAAAGGCATTTTTTTTGTTTTTGTTTTTTAAACAGATTGCCCAGGAGACAGCATTTAATGAGAAGGCTCACTTGGAACAAAGGATAGAGGAGCTGGAATGCACAGTTCATAATGTAAAGAAAAATGAGTTTTACGCTTTGGTTTTCCTTTCCCCATTTGCTGTGTACAAAGAAGTTCTCCTTTTTTTCTTTTAAAGATAAAATATTTTGCAGTATTTGTAGTCCTAGAATATATAAGGTAATCTCTGGTGTGATGAGTCACTTTTTAACTTGTCTATTTCTATCTTAAAATGATAGTAGTCTTTTTTAGGTTATGTTTCCAAAATGTGTTTTTTAAAAGACAAACATTCGGAATCCAGACACAGGGGTTTTAGCTACTTTCTTATCTCCCTGTTTCATTCAAGATAATATTATCAGATATGGAGAAAATGGTTCATTCTCCTGAAGGCAAAGATAGAAGAGGGAAATAATGATGAAATAAAAATTAATGAAAATTTATATTTAAATTGAGGATAAATGTGAATCAATACCATTTAAAAAATCATTTTATTAGGGGCTCATACAACTCTTTTCACAATCTGTGCACACATCATTTGTGTCCAGCACATTCGTACATATGTTGCCATCATCATTCTCAAAACACCTGCTTTCCACTTGAGCCCTTGGTGTCAGCTCCTTGTTTTCTTCCCCTCCCCCTCCCCCTGAACCCTTGATAATTTATAAATTATTATTTTATCATATCTTACCCCATCCGACATCTCCTTCACCCACTTCTCTGCTGTCCGTCCCCCAGGGAGGAGGCCATATGTAGACCTTGTCCTCTGTTCCCCCTTTCTCCCTCACCTTCCCTCCACCCTCCCGCTATCACCACTCTCTCCACTGGTCCTGGGGGGTTCATCTGTCCTGGATTCCCTGTATTTCCACTTCCTATCTGTGCCAGTGTACATCCTCCGGTCCAGCCGGATATGTAAGGTAGAATTGGGATCATGACAGTGAGGGGGAGGAAGCATTTAAGAACTAGAGGAAAATTGTATGCTTCATCGTTGCTACACTGCACTCTGAATGGCTCGTTTCCTCCCCGCAGCCCTTCTGAAAGGGGTTGTCCAATTTCTCCCAGATGGGCCCTGGGTTCCCGCTCTGGGCCTCCCCCGCATTCACAATGCTATTATTATTATTATTATTATTATTATTATTTTTTGGTCTTTGATGCCTGATACCTGATCCCTTCGATACCTTGTCATCTCTCAAGCTGGTGTACTTCTTCCATGTGGGCTTTGTTGTTTCTCAGTATATAAAGAAGGGGCCATCAGTACCATTTTTAACTAACCATGGATTTGAGATGTTATGACTATAGATCGAGAGTTAAGGGAATTTTGCTTTTTGTTAATGAATTTGTACAGAAATGAATAGCTTTGACTATTCATCTATAATATATTATTACAAGTTTAAAAACTACAGTAGACGTTAGGAAAACAATACTCTTATTTTACATACTTCATTTGCTCATGTTAGACAACAAAGAAGAAATCAATTGTGAATGGACTCTGTGTGCTATAGTCAAATTGAACCAGATTGAAAAATGTAGACTGATATACCATGGTAGGTTGTGTAGAAAACTACTCGGTGATGTACCCTTGTTGGTACGACGCAGGCCTTTTGTCCATAAAGTTTCTTCCAGCATTCACATCTTACCCAGTCTTCTCATCATGTAGATCTTGCTATAAGTTACAGTTTGTGCAAAGTGATTCTGTCTCCCTTTTGAATGATTAACTAAGGCTCCTTCAGTGATGGCAGTAATGTTGTGATTTCACTTGCATAGCTTGATGACGAACGTATGGAGCAAATGTCCAACATGACTTTGATGAAGGATACCATAACCACTGTGGAGAAAGAAATGAAATCCTTAGCAAGAAAGGCAATGGACACCGAAAGTGAACTTGGCAGACAAAAAGCAGAGAATAATTCTTTGAGGTAAACCAAATTAACGTGGAGCTACTAATAGTTTAATAGTTCTGTTTAAAAAAAAATCAGTATATATATTTTGATGGAAATTAATGTATCTGTTAACCTCAATTTCTGGATTATTATGAGGCAGTTATAGACATCTCACATTTTCCTCAAGATCAATTATAGACTTATATACCACACTTAACTAGAAGTCAGATTTCTAGATACCTTAATCTTACATTTGCTAAAAGAAAAAGTAAAATGTTTCACTGAAATAGTTTTGCAGAGCCCTTCTGGGTACAAAGCATAGTTGACCTTAGTATTTGTTTATTGAACTCACCTTTATAAGTATAAATCTGTTCTAAGACTTGAACAAAGCACAGATTTGACAGTAAGGGGTGACTTAGAATATAATGAAAAACAGAAATGTAAGCATGCATTAAAACTTTTATTAATTGAATCCCAAGTGCTGTACTTAATTCTTTCTTCTGCCAGTTTGGTTAGTGCCACTTACAATCAATAAATCTATGGTATAAGATTCGGATGATCTTTATGAGTGGCTTGTGCATATGTTGTCATCATCATTTTCAAACATTATCTTTATACTTTAGCCCTTATTATCACCCACCCTCCCAGCCCAGGGAGCCCTTGATGAATTACATATTATTATTATTTTATTTTCATATCTTACACTATCTGCTATATCCCTTCACCCATGTTTCTGTTATTTATTCCCCTCGGGGTGGAGTTGGGTTATACATCCAACATTGCTATCGGTTCCCCCTTTCCCCAACCCCCCCATATAAGTTTTTTTATGTAATTGAATTTATCCTGTATAAAATCAACTTCACTTGATTATATATCGTAAGCTTTTCCTGTTGTCATTAGAAGTTTGTTGGAAGCATTTTTGTAAAATGTTCTAGTAGGTAGATGTAACATCTTTTTTACTTTATGTATACATATATATTTTAACAATTTTATTATTGTATAATTGACTGAACTTATTAAGCTGCACACATTTAAAGTGTAGAGGTTGATAAATTTTGACCTTTGACCTATGAAACCATCCCCACAATTAAGACAGTGGCAATATACCCAGCTTTCAGAAATGTCCTCATGTTCCTCTGTCATCGCTCCTCCTCACCCTTCACCACCCCTACCTGCCCATGGGTAACTAGACTCTGTTTTAAATGTTTCTATGGATTCTCTATCATTTCATTCACATGAAAATTATTCAGCATGGGTTCTTTGTCAGGTACAATTATTTTGAGATTCATTTATATTAGATTATTGTATATATCAATAGTTTGTTCTTTTTTTGGTAGCTTAGTATTCCATTCTATGGATAACTACAATAGACACTGGGTATTGCCAACACTTCATGACTTAAATAAAGCTTCTATGAACATATTTGTCTAACTATTTATTTCTCTTGGAAAAATACCTAACACTAGAACAGTGTGATGGGCATATATTTAACTTTTGAAAACAACTGTCTGTTTCCCAAAGTAGTTGTATTTCTTAATTTTAATTTGGACAAGCAATGTATGAATGTCCCAGTTGTTATATAGTTTTACTAAGACCTGGTATGGAGTATCTTTTTAATTGTAGTCATCTGAGTAGTTTTGAACTGTACTTTTAATTTTCACTTTCTTAAGACCTATGATTTTGCCCATGGTTATGTACCTACCTGCTGTCATTTACCTATTTGCCATCCACATATCTTCTTGTGAAATGTGTGTTCAAAACTTTTGTACATTTTTATTCAATTATCTTTCTAAGTTGTGAAAGTTCTGTCTATGTAAGTCCTGGGTGAGATATATATATATTTTCAGTTATTTTCTTTTAGTCTTTGACTTGCCTTTTTATTTTTATATTTTGACAGTATCTTCAATAGCAAAGTTTTAAATTTTGATGAAATACAATTTATTATTTTTAATTAAAATTTATTTAAAAGTTTTATTAAGTATTTTGTGGGTTCTTTTAGGAAGTGTTTGTCAGGTTGAAGATCACTCAGATTTCTCTCCTAACTTTTCTTCTAGAAATACTATAGTTTTAGCTCCTGCCTTTAAATCTTTGATCTATCACAAGTTAATTTTTGTATATGGTGCAAGGTACTATTTTGCATCTGGGTATCCAATTCTTCTAGCAACATTTGTTGAAAAGAGTTTCCCCACTGAACTGCCTTTGCACCTTTGTAGAAAGTCTGTTGTCCATGTATGTATAAGCTGTAACTCTTCCAATTAGGTAGTGATAGTTCACCAACTTTCATTAAAAAATTATGATGGCTATTTTAATTCCTCTGAATTTCATTTTAATTTCAGAATCAGCTTCATAACTTCTGCAAAAATATCCTTGGGAAGAAATGACAATATTGAGTCTTTCCACTCCTTGTATCTCTCTATTTAGGCCTTCTTTAATTTCTTTCAGCAGAATTTTGTAGCTTTTAGGCCTTAAATATGTTTTGTCATATTTATTCTTGTGTACTTCATAGTTTTTTGATGTGATTATAAGTGGAATTTAAAATTTTCACTTTCTTATTGTTTACTTTTTCAGTATTTTGTTGATTAACTTACATTTTTTTTCCTTTCCATGTAAACTTTTGAGTTAGCTTGCTGGGATCTTAAATGATGCTGCATTGAACCTATGGACAAAGTTAGAAAGAATTCACATCTTAACAATATTAAGTCTTTCAAACCATGAACATCAAATATCTCCATAGCTTCCATGATGTTTTTCATGAATATTTTGTAGTTTTCCACAAGTTGCAATCTTCTATGTATTGTGTTAGATTTATACCTAAGAGATTTTTCTTTCTTTCTTTTGATGTTATTTTAAATTTACTTATTGTATAATTTCAAATTCCAGTTTATATCCTACTATCTTGGGATGTCTTTGGAGTGAATACTTATGACCCTTCTTTCATTTCTGATGTTGGTAATTGGTGTCATATATATATATATTTTTTTTTCCCCAGAGTTAGGCTGGCAAAAGATTGATCAATTTTACTAGTCTTTCCAAACAACTAGCTTTAGAATTTATTGATTTCCCCCCCTAATTTCCTATTTCAGTGATTTCTCTGCTTTTTGTAATTTCTTATATTAAATTTATTTTAGGCTTAAATAGCTTTCCTTTCAACCATTTTCTAAGTTCAAAGCTTATTGAACTTAGATTTTTGATTTTAGATCTTTTTTATTTTTTAATGTGCACATAATAGTTTGCAATTTCCTGTAAGTTCTACTTATGTTGTAGGATATATATTTTGACAAATTTTACTTTCATTTAGTTTTAAAATATTTTTAATTTCTCTTAATACTTGTTCTTTGAACAGCATGTTATTGAGGCGTGTTTTATTTAATTTTTAAAAATTTGGGGTTTTCTATCTGTATTTCTGTTATTGGTTTCTAGTTTATTACAAAGTGCTCTACAAACATACTTTGTATTATTTATATTCTCTTTTTTCCATGAATTTTTATTATTTTTTTTGTTCTTTAAAAAAAATCATTTTATTAGGGGCTCATACAACTCTTATCACAATCCATACACACATGAATTGTGTAAAGCACATTTGTACATTCATTGCCCTCCTCATCATTCTCAAAACATTTCCTCTCCACTTAAGCCCCCGGCATTAGGTCCTCTATTTATATTCTTTTAAATTTGTTATAACTCAGTGTATTATCTGTCTTGATGAACAGTCCACATCAACTTGGGAAAAACATGTATTAAGCTGTTGCTTAATATAATATTATACAAATGTCAATTAGATCAAGCTGATTGATATTGTTTTCCCAGTCACCTGTAGCCTTACTGATTATCTGCCTGCTTAAATTATCATTATCTGAGAGATATTGAAGTTTTTTAAATGTAACAGTGGATTTCTCCATTCTTTATTTAATTATATTATTTTTTATTTCATGTATTTGACATTCTGTTGCTAGATGTATACATGTTTAAGACTGATATTTTCTTAAAGTGCTGACCCCCTTATCTTTTTTTAAATTTATTTTTTAATCATTTTATTAGGGGCTCATACAACTCTTATCACAATCCATACATACATCAGTTGTGTAAAGCACATTTGTACATTCATTGCCCTCACCCCTATCTTTTTTAATGCCCCCCTTTATCTCTAATATTTTCCATTTTCTGAAATTTCCTTGGTTTCAAAAGAATAAAAATGCTAGAGCTTTCTTTTGATTAGTATCACCAGGTGTTTTTGATTGCATTATGTACCCCCAAAAGATAGGTTGAAATCGTAACCTGGTGAATATGACTTCATGGAAATAGGATTTTTCTTGCAAATATTATCAGTTGAGTTAGCAAAGTCATATCAGAGTATGGTGGGTCTTAACCCTAGTTTCTTCAGAGTAGCATCGTATAAAAGAGGACAAACACAGTAACAGACTTATACGTAGGGGTAAGACAAATGGCATGTAATGATATATCTTCAAGAAAAGGAGTGCCAAGGATTGTCAACAGGCCCCCAGAGAGAGGCATGGAACAGTTCCTCTCCCAAAGCTTTTAGAAGAAATCAACATGGTCAAGACCTTGATTTGGAATTCTAACCCCCAGAACTTTGAGACAATCAATTTCTGATCTTTAGAGCCACTCACTCTGTAGTATTTTGTTACTGCAGACCTAGGAAACGTAGGATTTCTTACTGATAGTGGGTTGCTGCTGTAGCAAATTCCCAAAAAAGTAGAAGTGGTTTTGGAATTGGAAGTGTTTTCAGGTAAACTATCACTGCTGTTGAGTTGATTCTGACTCTTATTGACCCTGTAGGACATGGTAGAACAGCCTATTGATTTCTGAGACTATACCTCTTTACAGGAGTTAAAAGCCTCATCTTTCTCCCATGCAACAGCTGGTGGTTTTGAACTGCTGACCTTGTGGTTAGCAACCCAATAAGTACTATGTCACCAGGGCACCTGAGAGTTTTCAGGTAATAGTAAAAACTTAGCTTTCTTTTGAAGAGACTGCTAGTAGATTATGGACTTTTAGAGCACAGCTTCAAACTAGTT